TGTGGCGGAGCTACGTGACAGAGCGACCGCTCTCTGGCGGGACACGTAGTGTTGTGAATGGCGGAGGTTGATGCGACGAAGTGAATCAGTATGGCTCAGCACGAACAAACCTTGGCGGGATCGGGTGAGCGCAACGTTCATGTGTTTTTGGTCGTCTAGGAAATCGCCAGATTCAGGCTCAAAATCAGTTCGGGTGGTGAGGAGAATAACAATGTCCTTCTCTCTGCCTTGGATGGAATCAACAGTGGCGAGCTCGACGTGGCTCTCTTGGGCAAAGTCCGCCAACCGGCGCATCTGTTCTTTATAAAACGTCAAGATACTGATGGCAGAGGGGGATACATGACAGTGGAGGAGGCGAGCGACGATGGTTCTGCAGACTTCGGCCTCGGCTTCGTTAAAATAAGAACGACTAGGCGCTCGTGCCGAGTTTCCCGCGACGCTCAGGAACAGAAACGGAGTAACCCTATCAGGGACCTGCATCAAGTCGAGGAGAAGTGACCGCTGGTTCTCCGTAGCACCACTCTGAAGAGCGCCCTGGTATGCGAAGGCGTTGCGTAGATCATTAAGGCGTGGATGGGCGCGAAAGGTCGTAACCAAAGAGGCAGTTGGGACAGCTCGAGCGGTCATCAAAAGATCCATGACACTACGGGCTCCGTAGCGCCGGGGTGGATGTACGTGCGCAGCGGATGTGACATAAACATATGAATCACATCTTCTGGCATTCCATCGGAGATGCTAACGAACATGCTTACCACGCTAGCTCTAGCAAGGCATCTCGCAGAAAGGTGATAGCCAAACCTTGTTGGAGGCATCGTCTTAGCAATAGTCGTGACTGATTGTATTTGGCTAAAATTTATGGCAGACTGTGTGAGGTCCAAACAGTGCGGCATCGTTGTGAAGCAGGATGTAAGCGTTACCAAATTTGAACGGGACGGGGTAGATGAGCAACGTTACCGACAGACGTACCTAGGTCAAGGTCTGTCCCTTAGGATGCACATAGGATGCCAAATGTTTTCCCCACATGAGTGCAGGCGCTGCCATGCCAAGACCATTACGCTTAGCGCAAATGGCAGTGTAAAGTACCAGTTTCTTACATCGTAACGCCAGCAAAACACATTTAGCGAAATCTGACCAATTGTAAAATATTACACCGGTATTCACCGGAAAACGCTGAAGCAGATTACCTGCCCATGGAATACCAAAAATGATGAGATCGCAAATTGTAAGCGTACGTACATAGAGGCAAGAGAAGCTATGTTATAAGAACATAATATAAAGCTTAGATAAAGGCAAAGTATGTTGAGAATAAGATCAACTGTTACAGATACGAGGACGGTATTTCTCAGTACGATACTTCTGCCGCAGTCTTATGGCATTGAGTCATGTATCTGCCCCCACCCTCATCCCTGTTTTTGCCGCCGGAATCTTTATTGACGGAGGGTTCTTGGAGGCCCAAGATTTGGCATGTGCGGAAGAGCGGCCGCCGCGCGCGGCGTACCTCCTGACGGGCAGCCCTCTATCGACGTCCCTCAGATTAAGCGACTCATTTCTTTTGCTGCCTGCCGTCTCTATTGAACGCGCACTGTCTTCGACGGACGCAACGGCATCGTCTCTGCGTGCGATGCCCTGCCTATAGGCAATCTGGGAAAAAACTATGGTCTTTGCTTCAATTGCTGCCCGCGCTTGTCGAAATGCGTGCCCGCAGCGCTGGAAGTGAGCAATAAAAGAGATTAAAGAAAATGATCAGATATATACAGGTCCTTCCAGCATGTTATAGACAGTAGAACAACGCAATGACAAACCGGACGCGCACAATACCAACTTCTAAATTCGATTGGGCCCATAAAGCGAGCGCGAATTAGCAGGGCGATTTCGCAATCAAATTTGAATATGCTTTCGCGTCGTCATGATGTTTTTCTCGTAGGAACTTTCACCCGAGTAAGTCGGCGGTCTCATCAACTTTATGAAAGGCTTGTGGATTTAGTAAGCGTAGCGGCGTGGAAGCTGCTGACCCATGAGTTGTTTCATTTTCATACTGCAGTCACTGCAGCAACGGCAGTCAATCGATCGAAATCTTTTGCGCGCCTCCATATGACTGCAGTAGCTGCGGCGACTGCAGTAGAAACAACCCCATAGACAACACAGCATCAGCATAAAGGGCAGGGCATGCTTCACGCGATTTCATTTGCGACGCGATTTGGCAAGATTCCAATTATAACTCACTGTAAACACCTTTTGAATGTACAGAAGATAGGGCGTTTTATCAAGCCGCGTAAGTGATACACATTATGCGCGTGCAGTTCGTTAGTATTGGATCTAAAGACTTCTGGCGAATCGCCGAATCGCGTCGCGACTGAAATCGCGTGAAGTATGCCCGGCCCTTAACAGTTTATCAATTACCAGTGCGTCACCTCCGCTCCGCGGAGGTTCGCACTGGCTCTCCTATCCGTTCGCCTTTCTCATGTTCGAATAATGATGACTTTGAAAGCACCATGCGACGCTGAACATCACAAATGAATAGTAAACAACTGTTCATTCTTGAAGCATCTCCACGTAAGATCGGATTTTGAGAGAAAAAAAACTTGTCGCAAAGGAACACTTGCGAATTTGATTAGATTGCTGAATTTGTTTTGGCTTGGTAGTCGTCATAAGGATAATAGTCACTTTGAGCAAATTTCAGTGCAAAAATCTTTCCAAGTCTGAAGGTAAAACCTTGCCAAATCGACTGTCTAAGCGATCTCCACTTCTTGGCGCTGTTGTCGCAGAAAAGCAATCTTTTTAAGCAATTTTTGGGCTAGAATTCATGAGGCGCAGATGTACTTGTCAGGCAAATCATGACTTCGCAAAAAGTCGAATTAATGACCTAGTTTTGCGTGCCAAAAGCCGCGTGGGCCCGTTTGACGCGCAGTTTTTAAAGGTCCCATCGGATCAGCTTGTGTTTTTGCACTTTTTACCTACATGCTGGTAGGGTGCTATGACCAAAATTTCAGCTCAAGACCTTGCCTACAAATCGCTCTATGAATTTTGTGACAGACAGACATAAACACACACACAGACAGACAGACACGCGCTTTATTATAAGTCATGATAACGAAGCACGATGATGATCAGGTACAAATGTAATTCTGGATCGCGTGGTGGAAGGAGATACTGGTTGACCGCGTCGGCGGGAGGACCGTTGGAGATGTGAAGACCGTAGAGAGACGGGCGGGCCATAGGATTGTGGAGGCTCGGTAGTGAACTTGTCGGCGGGTGCTCGCGGTCGTAGATTAAGGGCTGAAGCATAGCCTGTATAATACTTATAGAATGTTACAAAGCCCTATTTTTTACATTCAGAATGCGTTCACGATAAGTTATAATCAACTGGAATATTGTCAGATCGAGTGGCCACTGAATGAGGAATGCTCTGGCGTAAGGCCTCGAATATACCTTGTGCAATTTTCCCAAAATCGCGGCAATACGAGATCTGGCAACTTGTCAGATGTCCTCAAATCTAAAGGCTGCTGCATGACGAAGGCGCAATACCTTTGGGTGCAATCGCGGCTTTATTAGCCGCAGAGCGCATGAGGCCAGGTTTTACAACAGCGAGGATACGCGCGTGCCGCTTTCGCGCCCACTCAACTAATACTATTTTTGCGCTTTCGTCATGCAGCAGCCTTTACCGCATGTGGAATTTGAATGCATAAGCACGTAGCTTTTGTAAGCTTATGCGTGCTAAATTTTGCTTGCAGAGTATGCGCCTACGTAAGATTGTGGCCCCCGCCAGAGTGCCAAAGCCACGCCAGCGCTACGCCGGCGCCGAACCAGCGTCGATCGGTACACTTGTATTTCGCTGGAGCGGGGCCCTGGCTGAGAACTAGGTCAGCTAGCCCCGCCCCAACGAGATACACGTGTATCGATCGAAACGCTGGCTCGGCGCCGGCGTAGCGCTGGCTGGCTTCGGCACTCTGGCGGGGGCCTTAGCAACGAGGTATGACCGATCCCTAGCGCCTCATAGTAAGGTTTTTCGCATATTGTAAAGGCAGTCAATCTCAAAAAGTCTTTCCTGGTAAGTATAGCAACCAGGGCTCGGCAGAGGTGGCTTACAAGCAAGCTGGATATCGTTTTCGGGACGAAAAGCAAAGGGGGTTTCGTTTTTGTGGGCGAAAAGACACGAAATTTGCGACGTTTTTTTAGTCGACGTTTCGTTCTTGGTAGATTTTTTTAGAGGTTCTGGTCTAGGATCAAAGTGGACTTCGTAAACATTCGCAAAAGTCAAGGGGGACTTCGTTTTTTGCATTTTCATCTAGCCACCTCGTGCCGAGCCCTGATAGCAACATCCAGTTAGTCTGCTGTGTCCGAGAAAATTTATGAGAATGTTTTTTTAATCAGGGTATTACTATTTGTTTCCAAGCCCTTCTCACTGGCTCTACTCAACTGTAATTGAATTGGAAAACATTTGCTAATTGTGGTGATTTTAACATTATCTATCAACCTGTAATAGTATGTTATGAAGCCGAAACTTTGCAGTGCTGCATCAGTTCCAGTGAAGGCCCCATGGCGTTTGTTGCGACCGCAAGCAAACCCGAGCGCATTGCTGTCGCATGTGCCATCCATGACGCAGTAGCTTGCTCGTGTTGTATGGGAGTGCCAATAAGAAAAAGCAACTCTTATAAATTGGAAAGGCTAAGAGAAAACCACTTGAAAAACGAAAGCCTATTATTTCCCTAAGGTTAGGCTCCAGAAAAAGAAGACTGTGGGCTCGTGTTCGTTTGGAGGATTGGTCACATTAGACAGATGAATTTTGGTTTAGACACATAAGAGCAGAAAAGTTGTTGTGTCAGGTACTTAACGCTTATGCTCGTGGGCTCTTTGTAAAGGTAAACGGCCCTCGAGAGCTCGGAAGATTGAACACCGATCCCGTTCTGTGTGCTTCTAAAGTGATACATATGAACAAGTTCCACCGCGCGATAAGCTTCGATAAGCTGTACCTGTCAGCATTATAACTAAATGAATTTGGAATGGTTCATTTCGAACTTCTACTAGATCTAGCACCGTCCTTATCTCTTCATCATATGAAATTTCGGAACCATCACGTCCCACAAGTCGAAGGAGTCCGGGAGCAGGTGATTTACATCAACCAAGTAGATCCAAGCGTGGAAAAGTGAGCAGGCTGTCACGATGACAATAAATACAACATCTTCTTGAATAGTCGATTGAATTGGCTCAGTAAGTTAAAGTATTGGATTCATCATATAAAATACTCAGAATTTACCACCAACAGTATGCCAGCAAGATTTGATAAGCCCTGTGCATACGACGACGAAATCGTAGGGCTTACTTATTGTCGCGATTTGCAGAAAACAGCGATGATAGCAAGGCAGGCTACCAAATTTGTGATCGCACTTCATGGTCTTCATCTGCTGCAAAAGAATTAAACTTTTATTTCTAATTTATGGATCCCGCTCCAAGTCGTCTTAAGTGTCGAGCATACTTCACGTGATTTCGATAGCGATACGATTTCGCAATATTCCAATTGTAACTCATTGTAAGTACCTTTTAAATGTACAGAAAATAGGGCATTTCATCACTCCACGTAAAGGGCCGGGCATACTTTACGCGATTTCAGTCGCGACGCGATTTGGCAATTCGCCAGAAGTCTTCGGATCCAACATTAGCAAACTGCACATGCATAGTGTGTATAACTTACGTAAACTGATAAGATGCCCTATCTTCTGTACATTTATAATGTGCTTACAATGAGATATGGACACCTGGAATATTGCCAAATCGCGTCGCGATTGAAATCGCTTGAAGTATGCCCGGCCCTTAAGCTATACACACCATGCTTGTGCAGTTTGCTAGAGTTGGATCTGAAGACTTCTGGCGAGTTGCCAAATCGCGTCGCGACTGAAATCTCGTGAAATATGCCCGGCCCTTTATGGAGGTCATTCGATGTGGTGATAGGCCTTATGGAAGAAATTGAGGTGATATTTATCGCATCGTATATCTAGGAAATCAACAGCTCTTCCCGCATAGTTTTCGCCATCACCAATCGATCAACAATATATCTATATATATATAAAACTCAAAAATTGTCAGTTTGGAGGGTATGTGCGTTATAGAAACGCGCGCCGCTCAACCGATTAAGCTGGAACTTTACACACATATGTTTTCGAGCCTTGCGCAGATGATAGGCTACTTTTTGCAGCGATTCGTTGGGTCCTTCTATCGATTTATTGATTTGCAGCACTTTGCAATAAAAATGATTCTTATCATTTGCTATCAAAACAGGGGTATGTAAACAAGGCTGGCATGTCTCATTGTGAATTTCTGTTGACGAAGTGCAGTGAAAAGTGTTCTTGATGTGAGTCTCAATTGCTCATTTAAATGGATGCACTAAATGTATCTTATGCGGAAACCTTAGCGTGCAAGAGACCATGAGTGCTTTGTAGCGAGTGTTTTGTACGGAAGCGTGCTCAATTTACGCTTATAATCAGTGCTTTCTTCGTTACATGCTCAATTTAAACAATGAGGGGTCAAAATTTTTCATGAGATTGCGCACAAATTATTTGTCAATACCAGAAATAATGTCAAGACAAGCGACAACTCACATTCGCTATAGTTGATCCCTGGGACCAGGAAAGTGCGCGAGTGCAAAGTACCGCCGACTCCACAAAAATTGACGGCAAGCAGTGAATGAAGATGAAGTAGCCGGTTAACGGCAAAATGTCACAAAAAATGATCCTCATAATAACAATGAGCGCTGCTATCAATTAACTCGCGCTGCTTGCTTAGGTTTTGCGTGTTGAACTTGATTTGGAGAAAGAGAGATATGCTACCGACTAATAAGTGTTCACATTTTGTTTTTGTTCTTTACACAGTTTCTACAATGCCACCGAATACCTTATCTTCATTCCCGATCAGTGATCATTCCCGGGCTGGACCGGGCAGATCAGCTAGTACATATATAAAGCTGAGTGTTGATAAATTGTTAGTTAGTGTGTCCTTATTGAAACTTTTGTGTGTAGACCGGTTGACGCGACTTCGCATACATATACAGTGACCGCCAAAAAGTTGCGGACGAGTCGCCTTTATTCTTTCATCGCTCATTTTCAGATGGAAAACAAAAATGAAAAAATGTTTGGATTGCATGTGGTGATAGAGCTCTTCAAGTGCTACATCCCAAACATTGCGCTTTCTGGAAAACATGTATTCTAAAAATTTTAAAAATCTTTTTATAAAAAAGGTCCAAAAATGGCCGCGTCACAATGTCGCGGACAATAATTCTTCGAACGCGAAAATTTTCTCTTAGGTCTTTTTTTTGCAGCAAAAACAAAAGTTCTCCGGACAGGTGAGCATACTATAATATGTTGTAGAACTCATCGAGGACAATAATGGAGTAGTGGTTATTTTCAAAAGATCCGAGCTTGAATTTCATTTTGCTTGTTTCCAAAGATAACTTCTAATTCCCTGCTTCAAGCCAAATTTCTTCACAAGGAAACCTATTTAAGACATTCCAACAAAGCTATTCGGATAAAATGGATGACCTTTGCCATCTTCTATGCATTGGATGTGTGCTGGTGAGTTTCTTTGCTGAAAATAGCTTTTGACAGTGCGGGCACATGACCCCCTGCACCTCACCACTGTTGCACCGATTTGCAGGCTTGTAGCTCGGCCAGCAGTCACTCTACGAGCCTGCTAGTAGGCTCATTCAAAAGCGCTTGACTTCCTGGACACGATGGTATGTAAAAGAGTTGGGTAGGAGAAACAGCAGAGAAGTGGCGGATGGGGTGAAAAAGCCCAGCTTCAGTGGTAGGCTAAGGATTTCCAGCTAATGTTGAACAGAGCTTCTTTCGCTACAAGTTTCATCCTGGAAGTTGAAAACTGTCAACGTTCTTGTAACAGATCCGTTTCGAAGCTTCAGGAATGTTCTGGTGTTGATAAGAGCCTCCACTCCAATCACCTCTAACGCTGCGCTTTTTCACCACATCCGCCATTTCTCCACTGTTTCTCTCATCCAACTCTTTTGCATACCATCGTGTCCACGAAGTCAAGCGCTTTCGAATGAGCCTATTAGCAGGCTCGGAAAGTGACTGCTGGCCGAGCTACAAGCCTGCAAATCGGTGCAAGTCAGTGGTGAGGTGCAGGTGGGGTCATGTGCACGCACTGTTAGAAAGTATTTTTAGCAAAGAAACTCACCAGCACACGTCCGTTGCATAGAGTATGGCAAAGGGCATCCACTTTATCCGAACAGCTTCGTTGGAATGTCTTGAATTGGTATCCTTGTGAAGAAATTTGGCTTGAAGCAGGGAATTAGAAGTTATTTTTGGAAAGAAGCAAAATAAAATTCAAGCTTGGGTTTTTGTGGAATTAACCACTACACGATTATTGTCCTCGATGAGTTCTACAGCATAGTCTGCTCACCTGTCCGGAGAACTTCTGTTTTTGCTGCAAAAAAAGACCTAAAAGGAAATTTTTCGCGTTCGAAGAATTATTGTTCGCGACATTGTGACGCGGCCATTTTTGGACCTTTTTCATAGAAAGATTTTTGAAATTCTTAGAATGCATGTTTTCCAGAAAGCGCAATATGTGGGTTGTTTGTAGCACTTGAAGAGCTCTACCACCACATACAATCCAAACATTTTTCTTTGTTTTCCACCTGAAAATGAGCGATGAAAGAATGAAGGCGACTTGTCCGCAACTTTTTGGCGGTTACTGTATTTTCGAAGCCGGCTCGCCCCGCAGGCTACTTTTCATGGCAAAATTCCCGCTCCTTACAATGAGTCATCAATTTTGAAGAAAAATGAACTCTTATCAGTGCTACCAAACTACATTCAACTTTCGTGTAAACAATAGCGGTAGAACTCATTTCTATTGCACATAGGTGAGATGCGGTAGTACATAAAAGGCGTTGCGATTAAAAAGTCTACTATGTGTTGCACGAGAAGTAGAAGATAGCCAAAACCATAGTTGAGCTCTAAAAGTTATGCGCCAATCTTTCTCTTTTTTGAGCCAGTTAAATCCTCCATGCGGGCGTAGCCTGGAATTCAGGAGCTAATGCTTAGGATCAAAGTGCATTTCACTTTTGCGTAGTGGTCGCATGATTCATCCGTATTGTTAATTGCCAAATTTTCTTTCCATGCGCTGGTGCTCCCAAAGAAAAACCATCTAATTTCTTCGAGACTTTATGCAACTAAAAAATAACATTAATTTACCTTAGGAGGAGGGACCACAGGGACATCATATAACCGTTATTAAAGATTTCTTCACAATCCTAAGTGAAGGAAGGAAAACGGCTATAATCTTGAATCTGCAGTGCTTCTGCAGTGCACGTATTTGCTTTTACGCTCCGTCCAGACATCTTCTTAAAGAGTAGTCTGGAGGCCATTGCGGCCCTGGTTCGGCTTTAGTTAGCGATAGCCAAAACTAAAATTACAGATTGCATTACAAAGTCCCGATCGATAGCGAACTAACTCGTCTCGCAAAACTCCTAGTATCGAACGGATCCATACAGCTTGTGTTTTGACAGCAGTGCGTTCCTTTCACAATAAAATCTAAGTATTAGGTCCTTCCGAAAGTAATGTTGATTTTTCGAATACTCCACATTTCGTAGAGTAAAGATTTAGACTTCTTGGTAGCATTCAATGCAGCATTTCATCCTCTTTCTAATGATTAGAAAATCATCCTCTGAAAAATTGCCAAACATGCAAAAAGTGTTTATTCCATACAAACTGTGCAATTGTATGTAAGTATGTGTATACTATAGTGCTGGCCAAAACTATAGATCCGCTTAGAAAAAAACTTACTCGGTTGTCAGCGAATCGATCTAGAATTTGGCACATCTATGTGTTATACTTGGGTCCGAATCGAATAGAAATTCGATCATTCGAATAAAACATTCGAATATATCGTATTCGAAATTCGATATTCGGAGTTCTTCCATTTTCGAATAATATTCGAAACTCGAATAATTAAGAAAACGGGCTTTCGAATAAGATTCGAAACTCGAATAATCAAAAAACGAGGATTCGAATATTATTCGAAAACTCGAATAATTAAAAAACGGGATTTCGAATAGATTTTATTAGAATGTTTTATTCGAATGTTTATTCGAATTCTTATT